GTGTGTGTGTGTGTGCGTGTACGACGCTCGGCTAGTGTCACCGAGTGTTCACGCTATCGCACTGCTTACACGCACGCACGCACGCACGCACGCACGCACACACACGCGCGCGCACGCACACACGCACGCACGCTTCACGCACGCGCTATAGTTGAGCATGAGATAATAAATGGCATTAAATACAGCTTGACAGATAGTGGTGTGTTTTTGGCGCTACGTGATGGGATAAACGTGCGTAGTTAGCAGCTGAAGTGCACCAATGGCGGCGCCCGACGTCGTCTCTCGTTAGATTTTTTACCGAGTGAGGCGCGTGTGCGTGCGCGGTGCTATTGATTCGCTTTTAGAGTTAAATCCGCGTGGCTGGCCGCGTGGCGTCGCGTCGGTTTGTCCGGTGCAACTGTTCCATCGTGCATTGCTAGTAAAATGTGGTGCTGGCTGGTGCGCGCTCTACCTAGAGCTAGGAACGTGACTCTCCTGGTTAATGTTCACCCGCTGCGGGAAAAAATCATGACGCAATAAACAATAGAGGTTACATTAAGGTCGTTAGCGATGCGCCATAGCTTTATCAACAATGCTCAAAGTTCAATATTCAAGGAGGTTGTTACGGAGAAGAGGTCGCTATGATGAATAGCATCACTCGCTCGCGACTGAGTGCATTTCTCTGGCTTTCACCTTGTTTGATTGAAGTGCAATAATCTGACAAATCCGAACGGATGAGTACACGGAAATCTTTTACGAGCTGTGCCTCGGGACAGTTGAATGAAATGTTCGCGTAATTTGACAATGTTTAATTAAGCGGCATTCCGTCCTCGAGCGCAATTGTATTAATGTGCTATTTGCCGACACTAACTTCTATTTTGCGCGACAGAAACAACATTCCTGAAATACGAACCACGGCTTCCTCGCTGCATTTGTATTCATTCGCAATATCTATTCGTGATTTACTGGCATATGTAGCTAGCTGCTGCTACTACTGCTGCTGCTGCTGCTGCTGCTGTTGCTGCTGCTGCTGCTGCTGCTGCTGCTGCTGCTGCTGCTGCTGCTGCTGCTGCTGCTGCTGCTGCTCGAACTCGGTGCCCGTGACAGACTTTTACGATGCATACTCTTTTGCCGATGCATACTTTTACGATTGCATATCTGTACGATATGTGCATATTGTGTAGATATATTCGTGCCACTGGGAATATATCAACCGGCAACACGTTGAATTGTGCGCCGTTAAAATTCTTCAACCTTCCTGCGTTGCTGAAAATTCCGGCGCACATGTATTCCATTCCAACACGACCCTCTTACGCGTCTGTTGATATTTTTGTCCACATGCTCATGTAGTCTTCATATAGTACCGTTCTGGGAGGACGAGAGTTGGGAGGCACGAGGTTATGGCGCAGACGCATGCACAGTCTCTTTACAGTCTGATGAGTATAGTCAGCCATTCCAAGAAACAAGTGCTGACTAGTGCCGCCGGAGTGAGATACTTGTCTCTCTCTCACACACACAGCTGCATGTTCCCCTGGGCGGCTGGCGCACTGCCATGTCTCGGGAGGATGTCTGTATAGATCTCTAGCCCGTCGCTGCTGATTGAGTGAGCACTGACCTTGTCTAGTGTTAAAACGTTTTCGCCTTGAAGCCTGTTCAATATCGGTTCCGAACGCTTGCCGATTCTGCTGATGTGATTTTACAGGTTATGTGTGGCCATTTGGTATATCCGACTTATCCGTCCCATTCTAGTTCAACGTATGCAACCATTCGCTTCGCAACCCTTCCTTTTGTGGAGCGAAAGGCTACATATAGGAAGATCTAGTCACATAGCAGTCCCAATTCAAGTTTTGTAATTTTTCTACGCCCAGCTCGACTCCTGTACACAATGTATGCTCAGTTAGCATGTCATTACTCTTCTCAACTTCCTTTTTACCACGATAAGTAGCCACGTTGGGAGTAATGCTCTTCCACTTTGTTTGTTCCCCAATGCAGAGTAAGCCATGTATAAAAAAAATCTTCAGTATTGTCGCTGGCGTGTAAATGGGTAGATAAGAATTCGCATCCGACTATTTGCTCCTCTGATATTTCCAGTTATTTCGTAGCCGGCGGTATAGAGCGGCGAGGCAGTTAGTGGGGGTTTCTTCAGAGCGTGTAGCGTGCAAACAGCCGACGACAAGATGTTTGCTGGGAGTATCTGGGTTTTGATTTCGGGTGTTGGTATGTGCGAGGCCCAGCTGCGTTTGCTCGCGTCGTGTGGCGTACGTATACGTACATCTTTCTTCTCTGTGCTGACCTCTGCGCACGCGCACTTCCTCGTTAGGCGTATTTCTGACACGCCGCGTTTTCTTTCAACTGTGAAGGTTCCGTATCGCTGTGTCATGGTTAGTCAACAGCCAGCTCTGTTTCCGTGGGTGTACCAACACATTGAACTGTCGATATATTGCAATAGAGGGTGACTGAAAACAATTGTCGATAATGGCATCAACTATTGATAGTTTGGACCTTTTTTTTAACTTAGTCAGCGTTCTATTGCATTTCGCTGCTGACCGTGAGCGGACCGTGAGCGTTTTGCGATCAAAATGAAGAAATAAGCTCTGATTATATGAAAGCAATTTTCTGCAGTTGTTCAGCTGTTTTGTGCTACACAGAGATTGACGTTAAAAATCAGAAGGTATAGGCCACTATGCAAATCCACTTTCCTCAAGAAGGAATGGGAAAAACAGATGGACGGGATAGATGTGGAAAACAGTTCCGACTGTCGCATGTTAAAAAATACTGCTTACCATTTTATATTGATTTACAAGTTTGAGATTGCGTTTTCAGTATGTTTTATTGTTTTACAAACACTGAAATGTTAAAAACGTTTTTTTTTTTATAGTTTTGATATTATTGATTGACAATGTTACACATCGACACATTTGATATTATTGAATGATAATTTGTTTGTTATGAAACAAAGATTGGTATCAAGTATATGTAGTTGTTATAGGTACTTATTACGTTTTATTTGATGTTTTTAGCTTATTTTAATTTCTATGTTATGGAAATTAATATAAAAGCATGGCATATTTCGTTTTGTGGCTTGCTACTGCAACACACCACGATGTTATTATTATATTTTATATCTCTCTTAAGACATCTGTTGTTACAGACCAGATGGTGTCAGAGAGTGCATGTTACGCATACTCTAGCTGTCTCCCGCCAAGTTTTTTGTAATAGTTTTTCTAGTGTCACTCTATTAGTAAACTTAAATTGAATATGTCACGAATTTTCTAGGGTAAAATGTGTAAAATTTGTGTTGCTATTTTTTTACATTAAAAGTAAGAACTAACGGGACTAAACGTATCGTCAAATTCTTACCTGATAAGATTGTTTCTTAACTAGTTAAAAATCCAAAAAAACCTGGACGATTTGATATTATGTTCCTGACATTAATTGCTTGCTATGGGCTATGTATGAGTCACGGGTGCATGTTCACATCGAACAATATAGTAAAACAGGAAGTATAATGCAGCAATTTAACCATAAAAAGTGAACAGAATTACTTATATTTTGTGAAAAAGTGGAAATATTTTTTTAATTTTTACTATTTACGGTGACGTAATCACGTAATCACCGTAAATCGGTAGTGTGGTAACCGTTAATGATTTGGATATCAGTGAACTACGCTAGTCCGTCTTGCTCTCTGTATCTAAGTCTCCTTCTATTCTTTCCATTGCCACAGTTTTAGCAAGAAGATCGTTGCTCTGAAAGAGATCCGATTACAAGAGGAGGAAGGAACTCCGTTCACTGCAATTAGAGAAGGTAAGAAGCACCTGTTCTGATTGATAATGAATCACTATTCTACGACTTGCGCGCGGAAGAGCTTGAGAAATGCGTATTATGGTCGGATGTCCGGGCTGCGACATGTCTGAATACATAGCAGCGTAGTGATGCCACAGACTAACGGATACTACGGATAATGTATCCGTTAGTCTGTGGTGATGCCATCTGAGGCCACGGTAAATAGGGCATCAGAGGCGGAAACAGGGTATTCTTCCAGTAAATGTAGAGCAGGTGAATGGTAAAAGGTGGTCGAGAAAAAACTTTTTTTAGAGGACATGGTTGAGATTCGATGAATTTTGACTACATAGTTTCTATTTTGATGTTATGTGTTTTATTTCAACCGATGTCAACTAAATTTTATTTTTATTTTGGCCACATACTGGGAAAAAGCAGGCCTGCATGCACGAAGCGGGTGTTTAGGGCGTTGGTTCGCGAACAGTTGTGGGGATTGCGTTCGGGGTAGTAGTTCACGCGAACGTGCGCACGAGCAGATTTTGAATGATTTCGTTTACATGATTTCTCTTGCAGCTTCCTTGCTGAAAGGCCTAAAGCATGCGAACATAGTCACGCTCCACGATATCGTGCACACGAAAGAAACGCTGACGTTCGTCTTCGAATACGTGGTGAGTGTAGCGGCGGCAGCAGCAGCAGTAGTAGTAGCAGCAGCAGTAAGAGCAGCAGTGCAGCAGCCAGCAGCAGCAGCAGCAGCAGGCACGCAAGCGCAGCAGCAGATAAGTAGCAGCAGCAGCAGCAGCAGCAGTAGTAGTAGCAGCAGCAGCAGCAGCGTCGTCCTTGGGCCGCGAACGCATCTCGATCGAGGGGAAATTGCGGCAAAGATAGCGCCATTAGAGTGGATAATCGTAGTCCGCGCGCCTAGTTATTTCGGCTCGAACCCCGTCTGAATGAAGGACCGAAGCGCTCGCGTCTGTGTACGCTCTCGTCGTTTTCGTTAACAAATTGTAGCGCCGATCTTCTTCTTTCTCTCGCGCCAGCGTCAAAGCAACGCACAGCAACGCACGCAGAATGCAGCGGCGACTCGCGGCGCAAATTGGCAGTTAACTTGCTCTCTCTCGAAAAGCTGGAATTTATAGCGGCTCGCGAAGAGGGATGAGAGCGTAAGTGCAGGGGAGCATTATGCGCGAAGCTTCGTGGTCATCCGTCGGATAGCCCGCCGACAACGACGCTCGCTGCCAGGTCACCGTCTCCGGTCAGCCGACGCGCCTCACGCGTTCAGATGAGAGAGAGAGAGCGCGTGCGTGCGTGCGAGTGTGCGTGCGTGCGTGCGTGCGTGCGTGCGTGCGAGTGTGCGTGAGTGCGTGCCGCGGCGGGGAAATGCTCGTGCCGTGAGTGCTCCTTTCACGGTGACGGGTCGCATGCACCGAATGCGTAATTCGACCTCTAGCTTTCCCAGCCGAGCCATTCTTCCCTTCTCTCCTCTCTCTCCTTCACCCATCGCAGCGATCATTGCCCTCGTCTTCCGCCCCTTCTTCCAGCCCAACCACCCTTCTTCGTTCCCCCTCTCCATTTCCCAGCCCATCCATCCTTCTCCTTTCCTCCCTTTATCTCCCTCTACACAATGAAACTACTCGTGGAGTGTAAACCCCCCTTATAAAATAAGGACTTTCCCCTTGTTGCGTGAGGCACTCTCCTCCTCCTCCTCCTCCTCCTCCTCCTCCTCCTCCTCCTCCTGCAGAGTGCACACATCCTTCTCGCCAGCAGTGGTGATTTTCACGAGCTTCCTACTCCGTGTTTTTACCAGCAGCTAGGGGAAGCAGGGCTGGGAATTAATCTTCCACCGTCCCCCTCGTCTGTCATTGCCGGAATCCAAAACCCTCTTGTACTTTTGCAGCACACCGACTTGAGTCAGTATCTGGAGAAGCATGGAGGTGGCTTAAATCCGCACAATGTAATGGTAGGTGTCTGTGTTTTGCATTCCATGGTAAAAAATCAGTAACGGTGAGTGTGAGTGTACGTAGCTGCGTGTATGAAGGAATGTAACTGTTGGTATGAAAGTGAGTAATTGTGAGTGTAAATGTAACTGTTAACAACAATGTGTGTGATCGTGAGCATGAAAGTAACTGTGAGTATACGGGTGAGAAACTGTGAGTTTAAACTTGGGCACAGGTGAGTAAAACGGGAGGGTAAACCGTAAGTCTAAACTTTTGTAATTGTTAGTGAAAGGATGAGTAACTGGGAGTGGAAAGAGGAGTATAAATCGTGAGTGAAAAGGTTAGTATATAAAAAGGTATGTATTTATATGACGTGTTACATCTATAATAGAGCTCAGATCCACGTTGCTTTGCTTCGCTGTTGCAGTTGTTCCTGTACCAGCTGCTACGCGGCTTGGCTTACTGCCATGAACGGCGGATACTACATAGGTATATATATATATATATATATATATATATATATATATATATATATTTATATATATATATGATACTGATAAAATATATAAGTTCAACCTATGAGCTTATGCGTGACATTCAGCTAGATATAATACTTGAATTTTATTCCATACCATATGGCTATAAAAAAAAATTTATTTGGTTAGACAGAGAATAAAATGTCAACTGTTCAAAAGTGTATAAATTTAGGGATTTAATTATGGATACAGTAAACAGATTTCTCGCTGACAAAACCTTCTGTTGGTAGATTACTCAAGATAAGGAATTGCAAAGCCTCCGATTCTGATTAGATTCACTATGTAATAATTGGCTTGCTTTCATCTTAATCTTTTTCAGGGACTTGAAACCACAGAACTTACTAATTAGTGAACTAGGAGAACTAAAACTAGCCGATTTCGGTAAGTTTGTCGACGGTGGTAATGAATAAAACCTTGGAAGATGAGCTTTTCCATACTAGAAAGGATGTGTGTATGTTACCATATTGCTTATATGCAGAAGGTTAGTTTATAAATTATCCCCAGCGCAGGCTGCTGGCAGGTTTTGTTGATAAACATCACAAACAAATCTTTACCTTCATGTTCAAGCGTGGCTTGTGTCAAACTATAAAACCTCGTCCACAACAGTAGAACGTCTAACGTGTTTTCGCAGGATTAGCTCGTGCCAAGTCTGTGCCTAGTCGAACCTACAGTCACGAGGTGGTAACGCTGTGGTACCGGCCCCCTGACGTGTTACTTGGCTCCACCAACTACTCCACGTCGTTAGATATGTGGTGCGTATATAAGGATACCACGTACGCCACTTAGTGTCTCTGAAAAGCAAGCAGCATCGGCATAGCTTAATAACGCACTACGGATTGTCATTTGAATGTCATCTTTCCGAGTGATCCTCGCGTCACTCTCTTAGCAATCGCGACGTTCCTGTGGCGCGTGCGTCCTTCACACTGTATCGACGTCGACAGGGTAGGGGCAAGTGTTTGACGACGACGAGACGTTTTAATGTGATTACCGTTGCGTCGATGATTATGGATGTTGGCACTCTTGTGTACTACTGTACGAGTGCTCCGGCACGCGCGTATGCATGTGAGATGGCTGGATGTGTGATGATGTGAGATGGATGTGGTATGGATGTGAGATGGTGGATGAGTGATGATGTGAGATGGATGTGAGATGGCTGGATATGTGATGATCTGGTATGGATGTGAGATGGCTGGATGAGTGATGTGGATGCTGGATGATTGACCGCGCAGAAGGCCTATTAGGCTAAGCTGTCACTAAGTGCACGCAGCAGTGTTGATACGTGGAGAGGAAGCGATTAGCCCGTAGTTGATCTAGTTATCGGCGGGGAATCACAGGTGATGCGTAAACGTGCGGCTAATGCCTACTAATGCCTGCACCGCCCTCGTGTCTGCACGCAGCAGCATCGCTGAGTCGTCTCTCACTGAACAGCTTTTGTACCATGTGTCCTATGATGATGCCCGGAAAGTCTTGAAAATATTAAAATGCTATTTTCCAGATATGGAAAATTCTGGAAAATAGACAATGACCTAGAAAACCTGGATTGTCTTGGAAAATATAAAATGTCATTTCATAATAAAGGGTCGTAGAAAATAATATGGTCCATGGAAACCTGTAGCACCTTGGAATTATAAAATGCCATTTCTGGAAAGTCCTAGAAAATATATTATATGGTCCTGGAAAACCTGGGAAGTAATGGAATGTTAAAATACCATTTGCCTGCTATATGTGAAGCCTAGGGACTAGACAGTCCTTGAAAGTGAACACATATTTATCCTGTCAGAGAGGCAGTAATATTTGCTTCCTACAAGAATTTGTTCACTAATAATTGATCGGATGACACAAAGGTAAAAGATTGCATTTGAAAAATGAATCCTTTAACTTCTTTAAAACGGCTGGAGAAATATATTGCTTATGGTGTACGTGTCATCGTTGACCAGCATGGCGTCACTGTCATGTTGCAGGGGTGTGGGTTGCATCTACTCAGAGATGATATCAGGGCAGGCGACCTTTCCCGGAATGAAGGACACGAATGATCAACTGGATAAAATATTCAGGGTATGTTATTCAGCACACGCTTCACATAGATCTGTGGTCTACCCGCATTGCTCGTGAGGAAGCCAAATTAAATCTAGCTTGGCATGACGATCACAATGTGTGAGATAGCACAGCTGCCGTCATTTGTATCAGCCACCAGGGGGCTCCAAGACATCTGCGTGCGTGAAAACCGCGTTTCCGATTTTTCATTTCCCTTTGTACTATTTGCATTTTTTTTATTTTGACCACATTTCCTATTCATAAAGGATACGTACGTGCTTACTGCATCGAGTTTTTGAGGTCAGTATCTCGCGAGCGTGACCTTGAACAGAGATGAGTAGTAGAGTGTAGGGGGCGTGCATGGAGGCAGCGTGCCATGTTTCTACCGGTTCTGTGCGCCGTTGCCGTGGCGTCGCGCCGCGCTTCTTTCGCGCTGCATCTGAGGCATCTCGCGTTACGTCCGCTCTGTGCGTTTCAGATACTGGGCACGCCTACGGAGGAAACGTGGGAGGGCGTCACATCGTTCCCGAACCACAACTCTGGTATGTTTGCGCGTCGGCTCAAGTTGTCGCGCGGTGATAGGTCGCGTTTCTAGTTCGTTATCGACTTACAATCTGTGAGCCGGCTCGTGGAAATGGAAACGTGTTTAGACTGCTACTGATACCTTTAGTCAGGAACATGGTTGTATATGTTGTGCTGGCCAACGCCATTCACCTCTCTTGTAATGAAATTCTTGCTTGAGATGAATCAGCAATGAAGTAGCTTTGCAGCTCAAAATTAATAATGGAAATAACAGGAGAAGAAATTAATGTAAAAGTAATAATGAATAGAACTGCGCCATTCCCAACCCCTTTTTTTGCATAAAAACTACAATTTCGCTGTGAAATCTGCCTAATATATTCACGATTCTTTTGCAGTGCCTATATTGATATCAAATTTAATATACTGAATAAAATAAATAGTCTGGCCATATATAACTTCAAAGGCGCTTGAGCTCTTTCCAGAAAGCATTCCTCACCATGAAAAATTTATAAATATTTCTAATATATTTCTGCTGAATATCCTCATAAGCATGGAGCAGTTGGTTTTCGAAGGTGTGCCTACATTCTTTAGTTAAACGAGTGTTGAAGTATCCTGTGTTTATATATTACTTTGTGATGTGATGTTTACAGAAAAATTTGGGAAGTATGCACATAAGAGATTGTCACAGGTCATTCCAAAGCTGCTGCAGATTCCGTATGCAGAGAAACTAGCTAGTCAGTGCTTGCAGGTGAGGTTATTGCACACATACCTTTGTCATTACCTTCGTCAATGATTTATTATTAAAAAAAACTTTTATCTACCTTTAGCTTCAATCAATGATATTCACTCAGAATATTACAAGAAAAATCTGCATATTTAAGTGACTTATTTAACTTAATTAATTAACTTATTCATAATTATTTAGCGTATAATGAACTATAACATCGGGTCGAACTTTATGTTGTCTCTAATCCATCGGTATTGCAGCTCAATCCGTCAAAGCGGATTTCTGCCAAAGAAGCCATGAGTCACATGTTCTTCTCAGACCTTCCTCCTAAAATCATGGATTTATCAGATGGTGAGTTAGTTTCATGATTTGGTAGTGTTTCAAATCTACTCATCTGCTCCTGTTACCATCTCATGCCACGAAATGTTTACTTGTTATTCAATTTTTGAAACGTGCAATGTTTTCTTTCGCAACATCGTCCTGACCACTCCACAAAATCACTCGTGTCTAAATAGAAAAATCATTGCTAACATTTAAAATGACGAACACTTCCTGCTGTTTTTTTTACAGTGGCCTCCATCTTTGTGCTTCCCGGTTTGAGACTGGCGCCCGAAGCTCACACGGCTCATCGGATGAACATCCGGACTGTGCCGAAAATGCGCGTGTGATCATGACAGAGTCAGTCTAACGCGGTCGGCTTGCGGGCGTGGTTGAACTCCAGTTCTCCAATCTTGCTGTGATGTTAGCTTGCATATATGTGCTGAGTTACTACTGACCGTCATTGTTCTACTACTACTACTGTACGCTCCTGAAGCCCTACATGGCAGAGTGATGGCAAGAGTAATTTGGAAAAGCACCACGCTTCGGGACTGACCAGTCAC